AGAACATTTTTATTTCATTTTTCACTATCCAACAGCATAACAATAAAATTATTAAAGGATTTGAAAGACATTTTCTCTTATATGTATTATCAGCCGAAAGATGGCATTGTAGAAAAGTCGCGATAGGGGGCGCATGATGGCAATTGAGAATCGGGAAGCGAGAGAATGTGACTAAGGTTAAGAATGTTCTGTAATGATATGTATATATGTATATATTTACTGTAATAATAAAGAATTTATAAAATGCATGAGTTAATCCGATTGAATGAAAAGCCCAACTTACCCCTAGCCATCCTAAGATTAATAACCAGAGTCGTAGCTAGGGTTTTCAGCACCCAGGGGCAACTGAAGATTTCGCACCCCCTAGTGCCTGCCAAGGATGGAAAACATTTAATTCTAAAATGTCGTAACATCAATTTGGTGCCCCTTGGATTCTGCACCCGGGGATAGGTGTCCCCCCTTGCCCCCCTCTAGCTACGCCCCTGTTAATAACAGAGATTAAAGATAACATATATCTCATACACTGTCATGTCAACATCTACAACCTTAGGACGAAGATATCATTTTCCATAGCTAATAAAATATTACTTAATTTCAATGAATGAAGAAGGTCCAAAACGTCTTTCCATTAAAACCTCAGATAACACAAACTGGATGTTAAAGAAATTAATAAGGTATCTGCAGTTCAAAAAGCAAAAAGTAATTATATAATTGTGAAGACAAGATATATTTTATGTAAATTTAGCAAAAGAAATTTTATTAAAGCATTATGTAATTTTACATAAAAATTTACAACATGTTGTAAATCTAAAAAGAATTAGAAGTAAAATTGTGATGCAAAAGTGTGTTAAAACATCTTAGATCTACTTTTATAAAAAAAATAATTATGCACTTTAACATTGTCTGATTGCAATATTACCTGTACTGCATAACAGTTTTTAATACTTTTGTCTCCCTAAACTTATTTGTCTAAAGAAAACTAAATTATTTGAAACACGATAAAAAATGTTAATGCATGAAAAACATTATATAAATAATTATATATATATATTTTTTACTTTTGAAGCAAAATGAGGTGATGATAAAGTAGATGAAATTTAAAAGACAGTCAGGTGAAATTTAAAATATGCAGTATATATAATATATGTAATGAAGCAGACACTCACTATAATGAAAGCAGACTTAGAAGTAATTACGCTACAGAAACATTGATAGTATAAAACATGTAATGTTGATCCATAAAGAAGGGCAACTTGGGTAGCCAAGGCTGAATAAATATTGATCTTTCTTTTAAAAAACATGTTGCAGCCACAAACAACTTGGCACACTACTTATGCCTATTTCAAAATGTTTACATTTCTGATAGCTTTGCAATAAGAAAAGAGAAGCACAGCAGTCCAGCTGAATTGAAGTGTAGAAGTGTAAGTCGTTTTCAAAAAGACATCTAAATTTATAATTAGTTTCGATTCTCAATGCATTTGACTGGATAATTAATTAATGCTGCGGTAAAATTATTATTGGCTGTTTGAATTTTAGTTCCATTTACATCATCAGCGTTATGAAGAATCAAAAATGACATGGATTAGTCTTGAGGCAGTGCAGAAAAAGATTACTATTTATAGAATAGAAAGAGGAAATACCAAATTAAACATAAAAGGGCTAATGCTAATTTAAATTAGGCTGTTGTTGAGAATAATATCACTTATCTGATACCAGAGCAAGACCACGAAATTCATTGTGGGAAGGAGGCTAGATCGAACCAGTCGTGTTGCAAAAGCCTTGGGTACCATACACGTGACAGTATGATTTTGCTCAGTTCTGGCCCCAATTTTGAAGAGCCTCTCAGGGGAATGTGTCCAAAGGTCTCCCATCCTTCTTCCCCTACCAACAACCTCTCGAGAAGACTTTTGGCTTGCCACATATTTAGAGTGCGCTATGCCGCACAGACACAATACATCTACAAACATTCATGCTTTCTCCAGGATTCAAGCCTGGGGTCTTCAGTATGGCACTTAGAGTCACTAACCACTATCCCTTTTGGGCAGCAATTTAAATTATGATCTATCTTTTACACATTTTTTATCTTACATATACAATATGGATTTTAAAAATTTAGCAATATTTTATGAAAATGATTAAAGTTTTATGGTTAAAAAGATTAAACTTTTCATAATTAAGTTTAATAAAATTAAGTAAAGAATTTAAAAAAAATTTAATTACTTTATTTAGGGAAGAACATTAATCTTTTGAGGTCCAGGTTTGACTCCTGTAAGATCCTTGAAACAAAGTTGGGATTTTTCATACCTTATGCTTTGCCCCTTCTAAGAAAACCTTTGCTTTTCGCAATAATGATACTTTTAGGTAGTTCGATTTATTATGAAAGAGAGGCTTTCCCTTACAAAAGGAAGAGAAATGTAGCGATTATTGTCTAAACTGTTTAGATGGTTTCTCTTACGAAGGGAAAATTTAAAGGTGCAGTTGATTCCAAATCAGATCACTCAGTGATACACAGAAGGGAATGTATATATAGATATAATGTCATTCTATTTCTCCATATCACAGTCCATGCCTTTCTTGAAAAAGGTGTACAACATTTTAAGTAATGGTCTTATCTTACAAAATTACGTGCCTTTATAAAGTAATAATAAAAATTAATTCTACAATATTTTAATGTTATGTTATAAAATTCTTCCATATCTGCTATTGTATAGATAATTTTAGTTGCTTTTATCAGATCTCCAACAAATTTTGTAACATATTTTCTTAAATTTAAAAACATTCATGGCTTTGTAAACAGAGAAATATCATGCAAATGTTGTAATAAACACAAACGTTATTTATTGTCATATTTCCTTGTAGCATTTAATTTTTTTTTGCTGTAAATTTTATTGATATTATCCAAATTCTTTAAAATTTTCTTCATGGAAGGAACATTTAGAAAAGTAAAATATCATGGCTACAAAAATGAGTAAAAACAAACTATATGGAAATGTTAAAATTTAAATTGCAGAAAAATTCAAATTTAAAATCTAAATAAATATTAAAAATTTGCATGAAAATGTAATGCTTAAGAGAGAAAACTAACAATTTAAAATATGCAGTGTTTAGTTCAAATGCGACTTCTACTTCACATTATTCGTATATTTCGTATTGCAATTTTTTATCAAAAGGATTTCAAGTTGGAAGGAGAAATTTGTGAGATGCATATAATTTTCGAAAAAATAGGAAGAAGTTACAAGATAGTTATGAATGAGATTATCTTCAAATTCCGAAGCTACAAGAAGGAAATGGGAATTACAGGGAAAACCGGATCCTTAACACAAAGATCTTTGAAAGTAATAAGTGGTTAAGACTCCAGCAACATCAAACTTGACAGTTCACTCTACCTTTTCAGCTTGGAAAACAGAGGAAAAAGGCATGACCACTAAAGTGGTCATCCTCTCCCTTTCAAACACAGAATACCAAAGCTAACATAATGGCCATTCTGTCTCCAAAAGATTAAGATAATTAATTACATTTCTGAATTTATGTTGAAGATTTTTAATTATTGCTAGAAATTTTATAATTATTTGGGAATGATGTGAATATGAAAAAGAATAAAATAATTCTGAAAAACTAGTATACAATATGGTAAACAAATGTTCTGAGTATAACAGAGAAAATAGTTTAGAACATTGATTATTGTTATATTGAATAATGAATAATAATTAAAAATTTGAGTAACCAAGTAACTGTAATAGAATTTATATGAGTAATATAATTGAAAAGTAAAATTTCTAGAAAAAATTCATTTGAGTTTATGTTAAAAGAATGTTACAATTAGTTAATTAATTATATAATGTACAGGGTGCTTCAAATCACTTAATACAAAACACTGATAGATTTGACATCTGACAGCGCACTAAAAACTGTTTCAAACTAAAATCTATTTTAGTTTTCGCTACATATCAGATGAATTTTTAATTTTGTCTGTGAAAGCAAAATTAGTGGTTATCTTTCTCAACTCTGTTTTGGAATACACCAAAACATCACTGTTCAAAGACCATATTCTTGCCCAAAATTTGGTGAATAAGCACCGCATCATCACAGCATTGAACAGTGAGTGAAGCAGTTCCAGGAAATGGGCTGCTTGTGTAAGAAAAACCAGCCTATCACAAACACCAGCCAAAACTGAAGTGACTGAAAAAAAATTGTGAAATGTGCTTACCGAAGTGATTGAAAAAAATTTGTGAAATGTGTTTACCGAAGTGATTGAAAACATTTGTGAAATGTTTTTACAAAGTCCCACAAAATCAACATATTGTGTGAAATCCAAACCCAATGCATTATGCTCTTGTTCCCAATTTTTCTGCAATTTAAATATGCGTGTGTTATGGAAATGTCTACAATTACAGCCATACACGTTTCAGATGCTGCAGGTGTTCCAACAAACTGTTACGTAAAGCTTTCAGTGAGAATTTGCAAGATAAGCTGGAGGCAGATTTTTGCCTACAGGGTTTTATTAATGATAAAGTGTTCATGCCCCAATGTTTCCCTTCTTTGTTCTAAAAATAACAATTGCTTAATAACTTTTTCCGGACCGCATCATTTCTAGATTAATCTATATCATATGCCTTTTGCATAATGATGATAACACAGCTAATTTGGAACTCAAAATTTCAAGAACTGAAACCTTTCTCTTAATAAGCTTTCATATTGGATAATATGTACTTTATATCTGCTCCTCAGCAAAGGCAAATTGCTGTTTGCTGTTTCTCTTCTTACTGCAAAGCTATGAAAAATGTGAATGTTTTGAAACAGAAAATGAATATTTAATATGCCTCGGCTGCCAAGTCTGCTGGTCATTATGGATCAATATGTATTAAAATCAATATTTCTATAATATTATTACACATAGATATAATGTACATATATATCAGTTACAAAATAATAACTAATATATACATATATTAGTTACAAAATACTATACACAGTTTTTATACTATACACAATATACTCACAATGAAAAACATCATTTGACATTCCAGGAATTCCTAATTTCATTTTCACTTCATTATTTTCGAAATATGAATCACATGAATACATAGGTTCTCCAGATTCTGTTTTATTTACCTCTTGGCAATAAAGATAAAATAATGAATTGGTTTCATTCTGGTCTTTTGAACAAGAATAATTTCCTTTACTTAGCAGTCGATCACCCAATATACAAATTCTACAAAAGACAAAAAGCCACTTATACAGTAACATATATAAATTCTAAAAAAGACAAAAAGCCACTTATACAATAGCATGAGTTAAAAAAAATGTGTACCTAAATAATGGATAATATGTTTTCAGAAACTTAATTTTTTTTTTAGTATTTCTACATATAAAGAAAATAAATCAAAATACAGTAAAAGCTTGACTAGCCATAAAGCTCAGGAAAGCCGAATGCTGGATTTGTGAAAATACTGAAGAATTAGCATTTAAAAATTGCAATTCACAAGTCAAATGAATGGAAGAAGAAACTTAACTAATCAAAACAATCCCTTTTAACTGTTGTAAAAGGCATTCATTTAAAATAACAAGATTTTAAAAAAAAATTGCATTTCAGGCATAAAAGCTGATGCATTTTCACAGGCCTTAAAAAACATATAAAAGTAAAACATCTCAACTGATTATGAAATCCTATCAACCATGGAAGCTGGCAGAGATTCCACCAAACTTGTGTCAGCAATACCAGCAGAAGTTTGATGAAACAAACCTCTCTTTATTATTGAGTAACATAATCAACAGGCACAAGTCACTGACAAAGCATATCAAAAACTTAAATCACTTACATTAAATAATTTTTCACACTGCATCATCACTGTTTATCCATTTTCAAATAAAGTCACTTTTTTTTTAATGCCAAGATCCTTAATTTTGAAAATATTCTGCTGCATGCTGTTCCATACATGGCAGGTTTCAAATTTTAATTATTTTTTTTAAAAACGGTGAGGAAAAGGTACTTAAATAGCAAACATATTTTTCTTTACAAAAACGAAACAAGCTTATTGAGAATTAATCAGGTTTACATAAAACCACGGTGAAGATCTTATGACTGTTTTGTGCCACCATAATTATTCATTACTGGTACTAAATTACATTGTCTAGCAACAATTCCTTTTTTTTTTTCAAAATGGTTTGATGACATTATTTGAAAGGCATGTGAAGAATGATCAGTTCCAAGGATTGATCCTTGAGCAACAGGAGCGAGGGGGCTAAGCAACACCTTCTGAAAGAGAAATGTAATTGTATTCGCATTTTAGGTGTCAGAAGTCGGATTCTGAGCAATAGACCTATATAAATGTTTTGTGATGCTTTTACCAGCCTCTTAATTTATGCATTCTTTTATTAAAAACATTCTACAATAATCTAGTTATTTGAGCTATCTGGTTAATTGATTATTAGACAGTCAGGCTTTTACTGTACTGAATAACTTAATTTAGGCTGGTAGGTTTAATTTAGAAGTCAAACAACAAGAATCAGTGTTATATTTTCAAATTATCACAGGACTAGTTTCGATGGTTTTACCGAACCATCATCCTCAGCTGCTAAAGTGCAAATGAATGAGATAAAATATACTGATAAGAATAGCTGGACAAGAGTTGAGTGACTGGTACCATTTGTTGATGGAACGAGAACTAAAACAATTTTTTTAGGCAGAAGGCAAAGATGGACTGGAATTAGGGTCGTTAACTAGAACAGAGAGATTTTTTTTACGTGAAATGCCTTTAGAAAATCTAATTCACCAATGGAATATGTTTTTTGAATAATTTTGGCTGCAGAAAAATTGAAAGTGTGATTTTCGGACCAACAATCCTGGGCAACAGAAGACTTTTGTGTTTCCTTTTTTCTAACATATGCCTCATGTTCCTTAATGAAAAATTTTAAGGCTCACTTACCACACTGGCAAGGAATCCTGTAAATACCCCAGGAATTCACATCCGAAATGGAGCCCTTGAGTATGGAACTCGGAATTTTATTGATAGGAGAGTAAACGACCCAAAAGTTAAATTTCTGTAAAATACGTGCAATTTTATAGCTAATTGATGGAAAGAAATTGCATGTATAGCTAATCTTTCCATCATCGAAACTAGTCTGTAAAATATCGAAACTAGTCCTGTGATAATTTGAAAATATAACGCTGATTCTTGCTGTTTGACTTCTAAATTAATACTTGTTATGCATGTTATTAGATTATTATTTTAATAGGGTAGGCTATCATGAAAGTTTTTTTTTTTTTTTTTCCCTCCCCTGAAAAAATTTTACACTAAAAGCCATAATTTTAGTTTCACTGGATGTTTATTCCATCTTAACCATCTAGTTCACACATCTTTTAAAGCACTTACAAAAGTCTTCTAAATAAACAATACTGCATTTACTTGCATATTTATTTTTTCCCCTCTGCATTTTCAGTTTATGATTAAAGAACTTTTAATTCATAACAGCAATATTCAAGGTATGGATAAGTAGTAAGGAGCACACCAGGGAGAGGGGCACCCAAACTAAAATTTGCCATACACAGATAATCGTCCCAATCCCTAGAAGTGATTCAAGGAGGTATAACCTCCCATTCAACTAAGGGGGACTTATATGATTCACACAGTCTAGGTAATTGCACAGAAGTCAGAGGTTGACGGCAATGTATCCACCAACAAAGAAAAGTACCTAGTAAAATGTAGTCCGTCCCCAAGTGTTGACAAACTGTAGCCAAACTCCCAAGGACAACCTTTGAAATCTAACCATGTAGTGTGCCCATAACCAAGGGAGAGACAAGACAGTACTACATGTTCCTTGCCAAGCCTGAACACTCCACTGAATAAACAATGGTTCCAGCCCCGTGAAGACCGATTTTATAGCCCCTTGGCCGAGACCTCGTAAGTACAGATCGTGGAACAGAAAATGAATAGTAATGAAAGTAGTAAACGTAACTGACTTCTTTCAAGTTTTGTAACAGAGATGGCCAAACTTCATGTCAGTAGGAGCCACATGTTTGAATTTAGGTACACTGAAAAGCCACAGTTACACATTAAATATTATTTAAAAAGCAGCAAAACAGTTCCTGACGAGAAAGAAATGCTTCAGATAATTTGACAGTGACATTTTACAATTAATGTAACTATTTATTGAAAAAAAAAATTGTTCTTGTGCTATATTCAGGAAAATATGTTACTATAACATTCAAAATTTGATATAATGTGATGAATATTCTTTTTTCAGACCTCCCCCCCCCAAAAAAGGGTTCTTTTTGAACTTCCAGTTTTTTGCATCCAATGCTGATTATAAATTCTCAAGCAATTTCATTGAATATAAACTAAAAAAGAACACATAATAGTCTTTACAATAATTTCTCATTCATGTGAAAAATAATGCAATGATTTTAAAATAGGAACATGGAAATAGCACTTTTTCTTTTTAACATTAAAACAAATGATATCGGTAGATGGCTCTGCTGAGAAACTGTAAAGTAATACATGAGAATTATTTAAAACATATTACTATCAACTAAGCAGAGTTTTTGCATAAAAAATAGTTTACTCTTCCCATGCAACTATTTAAGCCCAACAAAAAGATAAAAGCTAACCTCTTACATTTAACTGGATTATCAGATATGTTTTGTTCCCCCCCCCCAATGCATGTTGTAACACTGGAGCATTACTAACAAATGCATAATGTAGTATCATTGAATCAGCACATAGAGCACTGCTAATGTTATGTTTTCTGCTAGACTGATAGCCCATATCTCATGCCACTGTTATTAAATCACAGAAATAGCACACAACAAGAAGTTGTTTAAAAGTATTAATCATGCAACTTAAAATAAAACAAATCGAACTACTGATTATTAAAACAATTATAATTTTTTTTAGAATTGGATGATGTTTCGAAAATACACTATTGTTTGTTCGTATGATCACTGCCAACAATGAGAATACTTGTAGTTGGCAAACTCAATTTATTTGGCAGCTATAACTTGTTACTTATTCCCTTGTATAAATCGTCGAGTACTGCTGTAGTGAATGCATGCAGTGTTTAAGTGTTTGCCATACAGGAAGAGACTAAATAATATACCTGGCATACTGAAATTGATTATTTACATCTCAAAATGTATATTCTATAACTAATGTTTAAAATGCAAAACCTTTTTTTTTATTTTATTTATTTACTTTTGGTTCATTTACTTGAGAAATAAATGGAGTTATAAATGGACTGCTTAAATTTTTGTTCAGTGACTCATGCAAGACTAATGGAAAATAACGTATTGAATATGCAGCAGTTTTGCACAGAACATGCAAGTATTGTTTATCTAGTTCCGCATTATGCGATAGCTGGCCCAGAGAACAAAATATTATTTCACATACCAACTATGACCCCTACGATAAGTTCTATATAAATCCGTAGTTTATTTTTTGAAGGCATGAAAACTTAGTGAATTTGATATCAAGCTCCAGTACAACTGATCTCCTCTAAAGGATCTGCGTGCTGACACATGAGGAGTACAGATCGGGAAGAGTGGTCTATTTGCAGATAAGCGTTTCCAGTTGAGCTTTACCTTGTCATGGTCTGGAGGCTTTCTCTTTTGAGGTTCCTAATATGCTCAACAGCTAAGTACTGTGAGAACCCCATGGTACCAGTTTACAAAAGGCAACCCATTGCACTTGTTGCTCCCTTCGAGGAGCCTGTTGTGGTTTTCCTATAGGATCTCACTCCCTTACAAGACAAAGCATGAAGTACAGATATAAAGTGTGATGTCTGCTTCAAAAGACGAGCAACAGAGAGACCGGCTGTCAGAAAATGCTCAAAAACAGTGTAGTGCACCAACATGTGAAGAAGCTTTCTGTTCAGCTAATGCTGAGAACTTCTTATCAAAGCAACATGAGTGTCTAGAGAACTTGGATGGGCACTTAAATAAAGAGAAAATTCCTAAAAGAGAAGGAAAAGACATCAAAGACTAATCGTTAAATATCTTAAAACTGTTATCCAAACAGAATTTAAGAATAGCAAAATTAGATGGACAATTAGAACAAAATCAAAATGTAGAAGATTATCTTACTGGATTATTAGAAATCAAAGCTTCCAAAGAAACTTACGCAGATATGTTAAAGAAATTGATTACTCAAAGACCAAGATCCTGGTCGAGATTGGCTAAATGAAAGGAACATTTGCTAATAAGATGATGATGCCACA